TGGCTTGTGGGGGCAGTTGCCCCCACTAACTTTTCAGTTATTATTTTATATATATATATAACATTATATTATTTCTATTTAAAATCTAAAAATAGAAAAAAAAATAAAATAAAAATAAAAAAGTTACAAAATTAAAATTGAATTTAAATTTTATTGTAATTATTTTTGTGTGAGAAGGAAGATTTTAAAAAAATATTTTAATAAGTTATAAAAATTAACAATAAATTACATGTTTTAAAAAAAGAAAAAAAAGTTGTTATGCATTTAAATTGTAAATCAAGATAAAAAAAAATTATAAATTAATAATGTATGTATTTTAAGTAAAAAAAATCATAAGTTGTTATTAACCTCTTTTTGGATATTTTATATCTTTTTCCTATTTTATTTTTACTTTTTCAATTCTATTCATATTTTGAAGTTCCTCTCTACCTCTAACGTATTTTAAAGTGTAGAAGAGTGAAATTGAAAAAAAAAAATTCTTCTTCCATCTCTACTCCTTCATGTTTCAATAACTAAACTATACATTTAAAGTGATATTTAAGGTTAGTGTATTTAAAATTTTATTTTTATATTACTTTATTTAAAGTGATGTGCTTGAAATAGTTGAGGAAGATGACATAAGTTTAGCGCAAAAAGGTGAAGCATGCGCTTTATTGAATTCTATGCAAACTTTTGAATTTGTTTTCACCTTGCACTTGATGAAAAATATTTTAGGGATTACTCATGAGTTATCTCAAGCATTGCAAAAAAGTGATCAAGATATTGTAAATGCTATGAAATTAGTTTCAGTGTCCAAACAAAGATTACAAGCAATGAGAGATGATGTTGGTCTTCTTTGTTCAATAATGTTTCACCATTTTGTGATAAACATAACATTGTGGCTCTAAATATAAATGACACTTTTTAAACACAAGGAAGGTCATGGTGTAGGGTATAACAAGTTACTAATCTACATCATTTTCAAGTTGTATTATTTTTTCAAGTGATTGATCAACAACTTCAAGAGTTAAACAACTATTTCACAGAAGCAAATACTGAGTTGCTTCTTTGTGTAACATGTTTAAGTCCAAGAAATTCATTTTTTTGCATTTGACAAGGAGAAGTTGATTCATTTTGCTTAATTTTATTCTTCTGAATTTTCTCCAGTTGAACTTTTGGCATTAAATAACCAACTTGAAAATTATTTCATGGATGTATATTTTGATAGTGCTTTTTCAAAATTAGAAGGGATTGATGATCTTTCTATGAAGCTTGTGGAGATAAGAAAACATATTATATCCATTGGAATATTTGCTTTTAGAACTAACCTTGATACATACTAGTGGCAACTACATTAGTTGAAAGAGTTTTTTCTACTATAAATATCATCAAGAATTGGATGCAAAATCGTATGGGAGATGAATGATTAAATGATTGTTTAGTTATTTATAGAAAGAGATATTTTTAATAATATTAAAAATGAGCAAATCATTAAATTTTTTAAATTATGAAAACTCGTAGAGAACAATTATGATATGTATTTTTCTTTATAAAAATTTTATTTTATATTTAGACAAATATATGTATTTAAATATTTCCCCCACTACTTAAAATTTCTGGATCCGTCACTGGTTATATATATATATATAATATATATTAACACGATGCATCGTCAAAGAAATTAACAAGAAACTCATCTTCATCATTTTATGGGTAATGAGATGGAGAAATGTGATGAACACGACAATTAAGACATTCCACAAAGCATGGCAGAAAGATTGAAAGTCGTAACGAATGAGCATCATGTGAAAGCAGGGCCAAAATTAAACTAATTGAGATACCAAATTTGACATAAAATAATTAAAGAGTCCCGTTTTTGATAGGTATTTTCAAGGGTGGAGTGTTCCTCGATCTAGCTAATCTTTTATAATCTTTAATTAAATATCAATTATGCATATATATATA